GTGTTTTCATGGTTAAATCAATTTCAGCATTGATTTTTGCTAATTTCTGCATTTTTTATATAAATAAATCGTCAACCCTTCAAACAAAAAATATAAATGATTTTCGATAAAAATTTCAATGAATAACAAATGTTGATGTCTAAATATAATTATCAAATTAATTAATTTGACGAGGTTCAATTTTTCGTGGCAAATACCACATTAGAGTTTAAATCTTACAGATACCCCAAGTTTTTTGGTAAGTGGACATTCTCAGTCAAGTTTAGATATTACAATATTGTTAGTTTACACTTGTAAGTTATTGCTTCGGCTCTTTGGCAACTTATTTTCTCATATCATAAGTTAGATTTTTTAATTATTAACGCATTCTTCCTTCTCCTATTTAGAGGAACAATTCTTGAGTTCCAGCCTCGTAATGTGATAGCAGTTAATTCAACTGTTTGAATAACGACGATGCAGTGAAAATCAATGACATGTTGCTAAGTAAAGCAGACACGAAAAGGCACAAATCCATAATTTATTTTAGTATTTCTTTATTCATTTTATAAAGGGTGTATTGTTTAAGAGTGCAATTATGAGAGCAAAAGAGTAACATTTATCTAACTGATTGTGATGGTTATGACGATAAATATGTTGATAATATGAAGATAAAGGTGAAAATGGACAATGATGAAAAATGCAAAATATTTATCAACATCTTTATCACCATAATCACCACAATCAGTTGGATAAATGTTACTCTTTTGGCTCCCATAATTGCACTCTTAAACAATACACCCTTTATAAGATGGCATAAATTCATTAACAGAAATTCTTGTTTCAACATTTTACAAGTAACAGTTAAAAACGACTTTTGCAGATTGAATTTTTTGTTTTAGTAAATGAACAAATCAAACCATCTAATGACTTTTCTCTCAATGTCTTATTCGCATACATTTACCGATTCGCTTGATACAATAGGATCTTTCTGGACATGCTTCCCCGTTTGCACATGAGTTACCAGTAAGTTGTGACAATGATGGACAAATCTACAGGATGAAATTCAAAATTTATTAAAACTGATATCACGATTAGCTAGTCGGGGAAAATTTATCTTTTTAGGTTTCACAATCTGTTGCTTGCTAGCAATATAATACTCACCAGAATGGCCAAGAAGAACAAAACGAAATACATTGAAATTTTCATGGTAATATTGTATACGAGATGATCACTGTAAGTTGACTCGAGTAAGGATTGATAACCAAATGATTTGGAAGAAGCTTTATATACCTGAATTTGGTTTGATCAGCAAATGAAAATAATTTTATAAGTGACAATTATTATTTACAAAGCTGTAAATAACATTATCCTTACAATTCAAAGAATTATTTAAAGATAAAATTTTCAATTTTCGTGTGAGTTGAACTGGTCACAGTCAAAAATATTGAATAAGTCGTCTAAGACGATGAAAAGTCTGATTGCGATCAATCTTTTAAAGATTCAAATACCCGATAAAGATGAACCAGCTAAAAATTAACTCAAAAATCGATAGATTTTTGATGATTTCGATGATTGCGTTTTTTACTCAATCATTTGAGTTTATAGTCGCCCTTGAAACACCAAAAGATCGGTCCCTGATCAATCTTTGAGTCGATCTTTTGAATTTCGAGAATCGAGATCCAAAATTCGTCCATCATTCTATCTCTACTTGTTAGTTTTCTCAATTGAATCGAACTATTTGTTAACATGCAAAAAATCCCGTTTTTATGATTCATTATTTGCTGTGTCTGAGCTATCGATTTACAAGCCATTCAAAGCGGTACCCGTTTGTGAATCACTTGTTTTAAGATAGTAATAGTGACAAAAGTCAATATTGCATTAATCATATGGACCAATGAAAATAATTAAGCATCATCAAATTTGCAACTCTTGAAGTTTGGAAATCAGTTTTTCAAATTCTGCGCCTTGAACATTAGACTGACAATTTTAGGTACTCGACTGTAATGAGCATTGTTTCCAGATGATGTGCCTCTGCATCAGCAAGTTTATTATTCATAAAATATCAAACATTTGAGCATGCTGGAAAGATTTTAGAATTTGTTTGGGGCTACTTCTACTTTTTTGAATAAACGCTGGTTTTTAAAAAATTGGCAATAGTGAAAGAATTAGCACGTATTTTTGTTCAATTTTTATAACCTTAATAAACTGCTAGAATTGTTTTTTTTTCATGTAAAACATAATCAATAGTTCTTGTGAAAACAGCATTCGAAGCAGGTAATGATTCAATAGATTATAAAGAAATATTCATAATAATATGCGGCACAATTCACTTATTTAATTTCACGTGAATTTGCTATGAATGAAGTTTAGTTCGGATTAGCTTTCGTTTCTATTATTCAAGGTTCATGTACATTTTAATATTATTAATACAACAGATACGACAATCTAAAACGCAGATAACAAAGATTGTTGCATCTGCGTTGTATAAACATATATCATCAAGCCATTTTAAAATGAATAACTTACCAACTTAAGAGCAGACATCCTCTGTTTCCGTCATTGAGTGCCATTTTATTTAAACCCTTGTGTCACCGAAAAAAGTTTATAGCCAACGACATCAGCTTTTTTGCGATGATAAAACTAATGAGTAAGTTTTTTCACTTTTTATGATATAAATTTTA